GGGTTTAATATTTTTCCTAGAACTTTTTTTTTTTTTTTTTTTTTTTTTTTTTTTTTTTTTTTTTTAAAAAAAAAAAAAAAAAAAAAAAAAAAAAAAAATAGGCAATTTCTTGAAAATCACAGGAACCATTTAGATCTAAATGAAATTTTCACCAAGAACTTCTAGGGCATGTCTCTTGGGAAGAGTCTGTTGAGGGGATATATATTTGGAATGAAATACACTTTCAGGACAGAATTCTCTTCCCATGCTGGACCAAAATCCAGGTTACTGAAGATTGTCTTGACTGCTTAGCACTAGGAGCCATGAAGCCATCACTGGGTGTCACTGCCCCTGACGGAGCAGAGGGGGTGAGTTTTCTTTGCTGTGCACAGCTAGCAGCAGTAACCATCCAGAGCAGTAACATAGTTTGTTATGTTAGTACTGGGTGGTTAGAATTTAAAAAGAGAATGAGGATGAGATTGATGGGGCAATTAGAAGACCAATGTCCTGATTTAGAGGACCCTCAGGAGCAAATGGTTAAAAAACTGAGGGCTCTCTTTATGGTCAAGGACTGAAGAAGCAAAATGCCTAAGGTTTGGCTAGGTTATGAAAGTGTCTGATAAATAACAGCCATGACTGATGTGTAATTAGCAGGAGGGACTGGAATTGCCAAGGATGCCCCAAGGAAGTAGCATTTGGAACAGCAAAAATTAACCTGAGGAATGTTTGAGCAAAGGTTTTGAGCAAAGAGGGGTTTCTTAGTCATGTGCTGCTGCCAGACTGTGTGTGATACACTTCAGAGGATTCCTTGGGCTGGGCTTGGCTGTAGACAGTGTCTATCAGGCTTGCAGAGACAGGACAGAAGGAAGAGACCACAAAGACAAAGTCCTTGCCCTGCCACTTCCAAACATTCCCAGCACCACAACACAGAGTGGATAAACATCCACCTGCCCTGTTGATTCTTAGTGCAATTTCTTGCCAATGGGCTGGTTTGCAGAACAAGAAAGTTGCACAATACAGGAAAGAAACAATGTGCCAGCCTGCCAAGCTCTCAGCAGGAGATGCCTGCAGATAAACATAAGGCAGAACCTGGCTTGAGCACAAATCACTGGGAAATGATTTTCTGATGTAAGAAAGAGGAGAAAGTACCTGCTTCCAGACCCACCTGACGCCATGGAGCATGGGTTCAGCCTGTTCCAGTTTTTCACACAGACCAAACCAGGGATCTAGGCTTTAATAGAAAACTCTAATCAACATGGTTTTAGGAAGTGAGTAGAAATAAGAGTGAGAGAGAGGAAAGGAGTGAGGAGTCTGGGGAGACAGATATATAGAAAGGAGGAATGGCCAGATACAGAGAGAGTGGGTAGGTGGGCGGACAGGTAGAAGTCTGTTAGAAGAAATTCAGGCAGCAGCCATAATCCTGCTGATGTAGAGATGTCACGTGTCATTGACTTGCCAGTGTTAATTGCTGAATTAGCATGTTCTAGCATAGTCTGCTGAAGCAATTGCTTGATCCCCTAAAGGGATGCAGCACAGTCTTGAGGAAGAAATGCAGCCTTGGGAGCAGGGTGCAACTCTTCTGTGCTCTAATCTGTACTGGGCACTGACTCATTCGGTGGCCTTTGGTAATTTACTTGACCTCTGTGAAATAGGGATAATAACCCTTAATTGCCATACATAGAGTGGTGTTGAGAGGAATGATGGAGACCTATAAAGCATGATGTGCTTTTATATGGAAGTACTGGAAAGGGTGCAGGTCTTCCCTCAGGGTCTGCCCTTGCAGCTCCCAACCACAAGGGAGTTCCCTACACAGCCCCAAGCCACGGATGCTGTCCCATGCAGGCAGGCCCTTGCCATGGTAGTGCTACTTGGAGTGACAAGTTCAGGAACAGACTGAAAACATCTCAGAGGTTAGTTTTCCTTATTAAATGGTTTGTTTAGGCTGGTAGATAATGAGCTGAAGAAAAGGAAAAAGAAGAAAACCCACTCACAAGCTAGAGTATGAGAAATCTCTGTAGCTCCATGTCTGTATTCGCATCACTGCTCAGGGCTGGTGCTGAGTCCAGAGGAGAGGGCAGCAGGACCAATACAGTGGGCTCTCTCACCCCATCCATGTGCCCTACAAAAGCAAGCACAAGAGATACATGCCTCTTCTTGACAAAAAAAAAGCTTTGAGCTGGGGAGCTCATACTGTGGATCTCTCACCACCTGCTCACAGGGCTGAGCAGGAGGGGAGAGTTGGCATCAGAAGAGTGGACCAAAACCATCATGGAGCACTGCCATGGCAGAAACTAAGCCCAGGCAAGAGGCTGGTCATGCACATTTAAGCAAAGCCTTTGTGCAGTTGACACAACAGAAGGCTGTGCCGCCACACAGTGAGACCTGGACAGGCTGGAGAGTTGGGCAGAGAGGAACTTGATAAAGGCAAGTGTAGGGTGCTGCACCTGGGGAGAAATAACCCCCTGCACCAGTACAGGTTGGGGATGACCTGCTGGAGAGCAGCTCTGAGGAGAAAGGTCTAGGAGTGCAGGTGGACAACAGGATGACCATGAGCCAACAATGGGCCCTGGTGGCCAAGAAGGCCAATGGCATCCTGGGGGGCATCAGGAAGTGTGTGACCAGCAGGTGGAGGGAGGTCATCCTGCCCCTCTACTCTGCTCTGGTGAGGCCCCATCTGGAGCACTGTGTCCAGTTCTGGGCTCCCCAATTCAAGAAGGACAGGGAACTGCTGGAGAGGGTCCAGCCAAGGGCTACAGAGATGATGAGGGACCTGGAGCATCTCTCTTACGAGGAAAGGCTGAGGGACTTGGGTCTTTTTAGCCTAGAGAAGACTGAGGAGGGATCTGATCAATGCATATAAATACTTAAAGGGAGGGTGTCAAGAGGATGGGGCCAGCCTTTTTTCAGTGGTGCCCAGCAATAGGACAAGAGGAAATGGGCACAAACTTGAATATAAGAAGTTCCACCTAAACATGAGGAGGAATTTCTTTCCTGTGAGGGTGGCAGAGCCCTGGAATAGGCTGCCCAGAGAGGTGGTGGAGTCTCCTTCTCTGGAGACATTCAAAACCCCCCTGGACATGTTCCTGTGCAACCTGCTCTAGGTGGACCTGCTCTGGCAGGGGGGTTGGATTAGATGATCTCCAGAGGTCCCATTCCAACCTCATATCATTCTGTGATTCTCTGATTCTGCAGGCAGGAGAGGCACATGTCTGTTTACACCAACATTAAAATCTGAAAGTGAATGAAATTAATTTAGAAGGATTCTGAAACCAAGCATCCATAACTGGGCTCAGTTCCTGCAGAAGATATCCCCAAAACAGACCCTGAAAATTGCTGACCCCCACCACCCTTTACCTGGAGAAGCAAGGGAAAAATAAACATGGCACCATTCAACAGCTGGAGGCTAAGGGTAACTGGGATGGTGTGGCACAGCATACCTTGCCCATTTCCCAGAGAATAGTGCAGGAGGCATAAGATAAAAAATCAACAGCCAAGTGGTACCAAATAAACCCCTTTGCCAGCAAATTTATGGCAGGATAACACCATGAAAAAGGTGAGAGTGAGGTTTAGCGGTACTACAGCATGGACAAAACGTTGCCTGAAGTTACTCCAAATATGATGCTGCTTATGTGTTAGTATAAATCAGTTTCTTTGAGATTTAAACCAGACTCCCTTCACTGAAAACATCTGTGTTACTGTTATGTTTTTGGACACAACTCTTCCCTCAGTAGCAGTTTATGCACACATTTAAATTGATATCAAAACTCAGAAAGGGAGTGAGCAAAATGTAGAGAAACTGCTGAAGGCTTTGGAGCAGAGCTGACATGCTTCGCTGAAAGGCAGTGGGATTACTCTCCAGGGGAAGGCTACATGGTGTGGCCCACACAATGGTGTAAGTGCTGGGCACTGTGGACTCCAGCCGTGTGTCCATGGCACCATACAGCCGTGGAGCGGTTTGCAGAGGGTGCCTGTTTAAGAGCACACGGAGGTCTCCCAGCATCAGCAGCTGTACATATCATTGTGACTACCGCAGCTCAGGCTTTAAGGTGAGCTTCCTGGCAGGGCTGGCCCACGCAGAAGTGAGCCTCTAGCATTATGCACTCCTGCAAATGCAGCATGCTTCCACCAGCAGGGAGGCAGAAGGTAGAGACAACCTGCTTGATTCAACCTTACGTTGATTTACTGAGCCCAGTGTTAGAAAAAGAAGAAGATTTGGCTTTTCCTTACGTCTACGTTGATGCCTGTGAGCCTGAAATCAGTAGAGGCAATACATGATGATGCCATTCAAGGTGAAGATCTGCACTGGTCAAACCAGTTTGCAGCCATGGCAGTTTCTCCTTGTCACATGCCATTAAGCCTAGCTATTTGCACTGTATTTTCAGAAAGCTTATCTTGAAATTAGAGATCATGGGCATCAGAGTTTGATTTATACAGATCCAAAGAGCTTCAGCCTTGGAAAGACATGCAGAATCGAAAGTCTCTCTTCAATATATGAGGCCTGAACAGCAATGTCTTCCTCAAACAACTGTTTCTTTCCAAGTGGGGTAACATATTAGGTCCTCATAAGACAAAGCATTTGTTTTTCTTTGTTCAAAGACTAATGACCCATTCCTCTGGTTACTGAAATCCTCACTGTGAAAAGGCCCCACAGTGCGGCCCATCTGAACGTCACCCTGAATGCAGGGTGGCTGTAGCACCCACCTCTTCCTCTGCTGGAAAGCCAGGGATTTTCTTTGGGGTTCACCTTTAAGAAGGGAGTTGCGTGAGCCAGGACCCCCTACCAGACAGTTCTGGGCTCTGTCCATTTCTTTGCACAAGGCCAAGTATCACATGCTGGTGAACACAGAATGGCAGCCACTCTCCCAGGTGGGATGATTGCTTCTAAAAAGGAGGGAAGGAAAGGCTTCAGAAGCTTATTTCCCATTAGGAGAAAGGTCTGGGTGAGCCACATCCATGGGTTGGGGAATGCCAGTCCCTGGTGGTCTGAAGAGCAACTGAGGGGAGACCTTTCTGACCCTACACCAGAGAACATCCTTACTGACCAGGGTTAGCAACCAGGAGACTGGAGCATGACTTTTCCCTGAATAGCTGGATTTGTACCACCAGGACACAGGAAAAAAAATATCTTTTTGCAAATTTGCAGAACAGACCAAGCTCCAGCTTGAAACCTAAGGAGGGGCTGGGACATATAGACTGCCACCATTGGACAGAGCTGCCCCTGTGCTGGCAGCCAAAGATAGTCAAGTAAAACAAAACATAAGAGCCATTTAGTCCTGTAGGTATGCACTGTAATCAGTAGGGCAAGTCAGGTTGTGACACAGCCTCTAACATCATCGAGGGTGGTGGTTAGTTTTAGCCAGGGTCAGGTTTTTTTACATCCATCTATCCATGAATGCATGCATCCGTCCATCTATCCATCCTTCCATCCCAGCACCCAGCTGGACCAGCTGTTGAGCTGGCAAGGGCACAGAGGGGGAGGGAAGGCATCACTTTAAGTGGCCAGGAGCTTAGTCACTGGGAAAGCAAAGGGTAAACACAGGATTGATTGAACTCCTTTTTTCCCTAAAAAGTGCTGTGCTGAGATCATCCTTTCAGAATCCCATGTTCAGTGTTTTCTATCTGTTTATAAAATATATACATACATAGTTACTGCTACATTCCCTACTTCCGTGAAATTGCTCCTTCAGTGGAGCAAGTAAAGCAGGAATACAGGGAATGCTGCTGCAATTTGCCAGTGCCAGTCTAATGAATGACATGAGAGACGACGCCAAAGGGGTACATGTGTTAAAGAGAGATTGAGCATGGTTCAAGGGGGCCGTGCTCTGTCTGGCAACTGCCCAGCAAGCCCCACACCTGCACAGAGGTGCTCTGGCTGCAGGAATGTTACTGTTCCAGGGCTGCCCGAGACAGTGCGAAGCCTGAGCCCAGCTCCTCCGCCACACAAAGCTGCAGCACCACAGCAGGCGCTCGCTGATACCTGTCAACAAGCAGGAGTTGCATCCTGGCTTGAGCTCTGCACTACGGGTGAAGTTCTGCAGAAACCTGGCCCTATCTTGTGCCTTCCCCCAAAGCCTCAGGCGTGTGCCCTGTTAGAGATAACTATTGATAATTATGTTTAAAACTTTCATCTCCTTCTTCACATCTTCCCAGTGAACTTAATGATGGAAGAAGTTGCCAGATGTTAATTATTATTATTATCAGCTCCTAGCATTTACTGTACAAAGCAGTGCTTTTCCTGGTCTTGGCACTCTGTGATTATAGCAGAGGGAGAAAGGCAGGTTCATTAAAGTAGCCCGCAAATGTTAGTGTTGTCATTATCCAATTAACATTCCTCTTCACAGGATGAATATAAACCTGACAAAGACCTCTCTGAAGTGGATTTGAAAAACGCCATCCGTGTGCACCACGCCTTAGCCACAAAAGCCTCTGATTACAGCAAGAAGTCCAACGTGCTCAAACTGAAGACAGCTGACTGGAGAGTCTTCCTCTTCCAGGCCCCGTAAGTACCAGCTCTTCCTGCAGAACAGGCAGCCTGACCTCCAGCTATCGCCACACTCCCTCCGACCTGGCCAGATCAACACACACATTAAGGGACAAACCTTGGAGGGGAGGAAGATGCTGAGCAGAAGAGCTGAGGGTGAGGTCTGTAGGGCTGTGCAAAGGACTCCGTCATGTGGTCACAGTTTCTACCTGTCACTCTTGGTAGCTGTGTGCCAGTCCTGGAGGTTCTTTCTCATCTGTCAGCAAGGTGGGCTGAGCAGGATGGGCCGGGAAGTAAAGGGCTGAGTACAGGACTCCCCTTACTAACTTCTATTGTCAGTCTGCAGAAGGGAGAAAATCTATGTGGTGCATTGAACTAAAGAGCTGAAGGTTCCTCTTGCCAGCTTTTGATGGGGAAACTTTCTAAAGCTCATTAAAGAATGAGCTTTAGAGGCTTATCTTCTCTCTCTTAGTCTATTGCAGAGGAAAGCTGTGTCAAGTGTGATTGAGTCTTCTCCTGTCCGCTGTTTTAATTGTCTCCTGCTGACATAGGTGACATTGTAAATTGGGCTGGGGTACTAATGTCAAACTGAAGTTTGACATCTGAATTTGTGCAGTGAAAACCCATTTGAAGGCTGGGGGAGCAGTGCCTGAACAGGTCTGATGATGGACCCTGGGCAGTGTCCCACAAATGAGAGGTCCTCCCTGCTCCATGGGACCTCTGTTGTGTGGCTCCCACTCTCCAAAGAGCAGAATATCCTTGGGCCTTTCCACCATTCTACCTCTTTCCAGCTCCTCAGGAAATGCAGTCAGAGCTGATGAGGAAGGCAGGACTTTCAAGAGGCAGACAATGGTCCTGAAATCATTAGGGCACTGTAGAGGAGCCAATTAGCCAGAGTTTTCCTCTGTTCACAACCCCAGGTGGCACAGAAATGGCTTCAAAGCAAGGCCCTCCCAAGAGTGCCTGGCTCCAGGGAAATTTTGAGCTGGCTGGTCCTGGGTCAGGAGCATTTACAGACACTCCCTCTCTTCTCCCCTTCTCCATAACAGAAGTAAGGAAGAAATGCTCTCCTGGATCCTGCGAATCAACCTTGTTGCTGCCATTTTCTCTGCCCCAGCCTTCCCAGCTGCCATCTGCTCCATGAAGAAATTCTGCCGCCCACTCCTGCCTTCATCCATGACCAAGCTGTGCCAGGTAACACATGAGAGAAGGAGCAATGGAGGGGTGACCAGCACTCAGCCAGCCCTTCAACACCTAGCTCAGGCTGAGCCCATCTACAGCTACCCCAGCTCCTGCCTGATAGACACACTCAGGGCAGTGGAGTGGGTGGCTTGGACAGACAGTGGCAAAGCCTGGTGTCTGGCCAATGCTTCCTCTGCAGTGGCTATAAAGCAACCCCATGCATCTCCTGCCTGAATGGCTCTTGATTCTGGCTTGTTTATCGCTCTTTGCCCATCACATCCCAGCACCTTTCTGTTGCTGGAGTTGAAAAAGCTGGTGCTACTGAGCCCAACAGCTGGCAACAACCCCACTTCATTTTATAACATGGCACTCAGAGGTGGCACCCTGTTGTTTCTCAAGCTGAAAAGCCACAGATGAAGGTGGAGTCTGAGTCCCACTCAGTGAGGAAGGTCTTTCTGGAAGCAAGGGGGCACCAGACCATGGCTGCCTAAGGCTCAGTCCACCAAGAGCAATGGGCAGCTGTCATCCAAAGAGTAGTTTTGGTTAGCACAGTCCAGGGAAAGTCCGACATGCCTTAGCACCTCCAAAAAGTAGGGTCACACTGCCACTGGGCCCCAGCAAATGGGAGGACAGCCTGAAATGTCAGGGCAGAGATACAGCTCCTATCTGCTGAACCAGATGTGGCCAGATGTCACCTTTCTCAGAGCCCAGATGGGGAGGATACTTTTATTTCAAAAAAGAGATGAGCCACTCATGGGACACCGCTGGTTCTGCCTGGCTGTTGAAGGATGCAGAGCATTTCATATTTATGATGCTAAAGAAGCCCAGGTGCCAAAGACATCTACTCTTGGCACTTGCAATACATGAGTTTTGATCTTACTCAAATACCTGTGTTTCAGCTGCTTCTTATCAGATGAATTTGCAAATGTACTGCACACCTTTGGCTCCAGCACAGTAGCCAAGCTTACATCCTTGCAGAGACAGATCCCACACTAACAGGCAGGCGGTGCACTTGGGTGTTGCACTCCTACGTTTTAATACCTGACATGCTTCTCTCGGCAGGAGGAACAGCTGAGGTCTCATGAAAATAAAATGAAGCAGATTGCAGACGAATTAGCAGAGCATAAATTACATCCTGTAGAGAAGAGCCTCAAGTCAAAAGAGGCTGAGGAATACAGACTCAAAGAACATTACCTAATATTTGAGGTAAAGGAACTTTCATCTTTTCTGTGATAAACGATACCGTGGCTGATTGAGAACTAAGAATTCTGGAGTGGATGCTGTGAGCCGGGGGAACGTGAAAGGAGAGAGAAGGACAAGGGTTCGCAAGCGGGATGGGTGTCTTGGGGCAGCAGCAAGCCTCACTGTTTTGCACTGATGCTAAAAAAAGAAATAACAGACATTTCCTCCCCTCTGTGATTTCTAACAAGAGGATGGAAAAACTGATGAGAGAAATAAAATCTTCCTTTACTGTGCTGAAACTTGACAGGAAACCTTCCTCAGGTCCCAAGTAAGAAAGTGGTCCAGTTCTTGGTGTGCATCAGTCTTTTTCAGCAACATTAATAAAAAGCTAAGGGGAGAATAAATCTGGATTTGATGCAACTATTTCTGCAAGTAAAGCCAAAACCAGCATTACAGCTGACTACAGACTCTTTGAGGATGCATGTAGCTAAGTTTAATCTCTCTGCAAAGTCTAAGAAGGATTTAATTGTGGGAGAAATGGGATATTTTGCTCCAGTGGGAGTTTAGCAGGTGTGATTCCTGCCACATAGGTGTCAGTGGTAAGGGACTGCTGGAGGCCTCTAGTCCTGCTTCCAGCAGGATTATTCCCAGTATTTCCCAGGCTGAGCATGCCATTTTGTGGGCAAGTCTCAGAAATCTCCAAGGATGGAAATATCCCCCTCCCACATACCAGGGTTGCACCACCCTTTTATGTAATGCCAAGCCTGACTCTCTAGAGCAGATCCGTTGGTCTGCTTTTGCCTCCAGTATCCATCTTATAAAACCACTGGCAGTCAAGACCCATAAGAGCAATTGGAGAGTCTTGTACAACCCTCCTCTTTCTCCTTATCCCTTTCAACAATGGGTTGATCAGTCTTTGCAGGCTTTGCATAGATCAGGGATTGTGCTGTTGTTAAACAGTAATTGTGGAGTATGATCAGTGGGTTCCGGACAATATGTGTTGGGTTTTCCTGCAGTAGCAGATGGCATTGCCTCTACTTTTCGCATATGTCATGGCCCAACCATGTTCCCAGGCTCTCTGTTCCCTCTTTCTCTGCAGAAGAGTCGCTATGAGACATATATCAACCTGCTGTGCATGAAGATAAAAGTTGGGACAGATGACCTGGAGAGAATTGAAACCAGTTTCTTCAAGGTGGAAGCTGATGACATTGCTTTGCGGAAGACACATTCAAGCCCATCTTTGAGCCAAGGTCACATGTCCATCAGCTGTAAGGCAGAAAAGGACATTTTAGAACAGAACACTTAACAAGGAATATGTGCACAGGGGGGATGAACCGGCAACACTTTACGCTCCTGGACTAAACCGATGAGCACAATTTTACCTAGGAAATTACAGGAGCAAAACTATAGACATGTATCACATGGTGATTGCTCTAGTGGAAGAAATCAAAGAAGCTTTAGTTGACACTCTCTGGCAATGCTCTGGCATTTCAGCATCATAGACACACCATCTCCCATCCCCAACGGCACCAGTGGCTTTTCTTTCCTTCCTACCACAGCCTGCACAACAAAGGGATGTGCTGGTTCTCCAAGGGCCAGGTTGCTCTTTTCTCCACCAGCCCTCTCTCTTCTCCTCCTTCTCTCCTGGAGTCCCCACAGGTTCACATCCGCAGCTCCCAGCAGTGTCTGTGGCACCACCAGTGCTCCCAGAGACGGCACAGAGTGGCAGGGAGCACGTCCCTCCCCAGAGAGGAGCACCATTCAGCACATCACGATAGGATGGGCTATCATGAGCTAGTCACTGACCAAGGGAGAGGCGTCGTCAGCATGGCATATGGGAACATCATCTGCCCATGGCAGGAGAGGCCTGAAATGCCCTCTGTCACCTTATCCTTTTTTTATATATATATATATACACACATATAAATATATAAATAAATATATATATAAGGAAACCTTAATGTGGGTTTTTAACCTCAGTGTGCAAGTGAAGGCAAGCTGCCTGGGGAAGACACTAGGGACCATGGAGGGTCTGACCAGCCCACCAAGATATTTTAAAAAATGCAGTA